CACTCCCACAAAGGAAGCCACACCCACAGAGTAGGTTCAAACAATTTTTGAAACCCACCACTGCTCTGGCCCACATATCCTATCCTTCTAATTCTTCTTCAGGCTAATAGCCAAATATGATCAGGTGTCACACTCCAAAAAGTAAGGGCAGGACAAAACAAAGAAAGGATGGGGCCAGAGCAAAAACTGAATTTGATTTGAGGCTAAAGGTGGCACCATTCCCCCACCCCCCCAAACAAAACATGTAGGAATCCAGATGTTGATATTTATTGCCTATAAAAAGGAAAGAAAAAAAAAAGGAGAGAGCAAAAAGGCCACCTGGGACTCTTTCCTTCAAAACTCTGATCTGAATAAAAACATTTTCCCCTCATGTTTTGGAAGAGTTGTTATAGAAGGGGCACAAGGGAAAGCACAGAGATGGGAGACAGAGAGACCTGAAGCCAGAAAGCTATAGATCCTTTTTTAACACTCTCGTTGGCAGAATCCTATAGCAGCTCCATCCAGTTGGAGCATCACACTGGCAGATGTTATTTTTCCTGCCGGGTGGTGACTTGACATAGGAAGGACAGCTAAGTGAGAGACATCAACAGATCACTTTATTGTACCCATCAGGTGCTCTCCACGTATAGTATTGGGACTGAGTCATAACCAACGTCATGGAATCAGGATGGGTCATAGCAACAAAGGCAGCAAAATTCATGTTAAGGTAGTTGGCAAGGTTGGGGAATGGTACTTTAAACTAGTAAAAGGGTTAGGCCCAAAACTAGGGCATTTGAACATCTTAGATTTATACCATGGCTGGTTTTCTGCTGCCCCTTGATTTTGTTTTTGTTTGTCTCACATTTAGTTTAAATTTAAAAATTAAACCAAATATCTATTTGATACGTATAGTTGTGAGGGCATTTTTCCTTTTAACTAAATAGCAAACTGCAGAAATGAGAGTCTGGATCAGGTCCCCTTTATGGAAGAACAATGCTTTTTACCCCTTAATCTTTCCTCAATTCTAATCCAGATTTCCCACCCACATATATCCAGAGAGGAGAAAATTACTACTGGTGATAATGGGAACTGCCTGACATAGACTTTCATTGTGGCGACATTTGAAAATTAATTTGAGCTGTTTGGCTGACTGATAGAGCTTGATAAATGGAGTACGCTTGACAATGCAGGCAGCAACATCTTACTTCAATGAAAACAATCATAACTTGTTCCAGTTTTTTATTTAGATTTACACAATGAGAAATCATGAAGCAAAATAGCAATTTACACAATGAGAAAACATGAAGCAAAATATTAAGCGAAGAATGTATAATGCTGTGAGGACAAATGCAAAAAAGGATATGAAGAAATAAAAAGTAAAAGTCACCACTAATTTGAAAAGTCCAAAGTTGTTCACCATTTCCATATATAACAAGAATTGACAAGATTATACCTTTTGCAATTTTGCATTTTGGAATTTAATCTGCCCAAGTATGATAAAAGTGTGATTCCTGCCTCTGAAAGTTCATTATTCTAAATCTATCAGTGATTATTTTTCTAATAAGGCAATTAAGAAGGCACTTGTAATTGACAAATCAATTGTTAGATTGTCAAGAAATTTAGGAATGTCATGCAATGAAGAATGTTGTTGTCTTAAGTAAATCGTCAATCAGTTTCTTATTTTAAGAGAACTGTTGGATTGTGCAAATAGATACAACAAGCCTAACTTGGGAAAGCATTTGAGAGACCGTTTTGTAATTACACCAATTTTGCTAAATTTCCAGAAGGTCCTTTCCAGTCTTAATTTGTTTAAAATCCTTCCCATTTGAAATGCCAGACAAAAGAGCCGAGGTGGCACAGTGGTTAAATGCAGCACTGCAGGCTACTTCAGCTGACTGCAGTTCTGCAGTTCGGCTGTTCAAATCTCACTGGCTCAGGGTTGACTCAGCCTTCCATCCTTCCGAGGTGGGTAAAATGAGGACCTGGATTGTTGTTGGGGGCAATATGCTGACTCTGTAAACCGCTCAGAGAGGACTGAAAGCCCTATGAAGCGGTATATAAATCTAACTGCTATTGCTATTGCTAAAATACTAATGAAATGGCAAAGGCAACTGAAAGCTCTAGTTTCAATTTTAAGAAAACAAAATTAGAAAGATATTATATCAGTCACAGAAAGGCTTGGGGCTTCCAAATATCTGTTATAAATAAGCAGAATTAAGTTATTTGATTCCATTTATAGTGGAACATCCAACTAAGGAGAGGACTGATACAGATATTATATCAGAAGCTGGCAATCTTTTGAATTATATATTTTCCAGATGAAAAATTCCCCCAGCATATACAAAATTAATAATACTTTACTGGCACAATAATTCAAATTTTGGGGGAAAAATAGTTTTTTAGAGCATTTTCCTCTAGTCCTTTTAATGACTGTTTACAAAACTTTAATATGGGTCAGGTCAATTAATTTTTTTGAAGAATTATAACTTTTACATGATTATTTTGATACCAATTTTGGGCCAGGAAATAGGCTGGGCTGTCTGACAGTTATATTGCTTTTTCTGACAAGAGCTTAATACTATATTAGGTGAAGTCAAGAACTTGCTCATATACAGGTAATCCTTGACTTACAACCATTTGTTTAGTGGCTGCACTGAACAGCAGCACTGAACAGCGACTCATGACTGAGTCATGACTTACGACTGTTACAGCATCCCCATGGTCATGATTAAAGCCTTTGGTGAGTTGTACATTTTTATGCAAGTTGCACTGTCCTGAGGTCATGTGATCAGCCTTTATAACCTTCCTAGACTTCTTCGGACAGGCAACATTAATGGATCAGATTAACTTAGTGATTGCATGATTCACTTTAGAACTACAGTGATTCACTTACAAACTTAACAATGGAAATTTTGGACCCAATTATGGTCATTGAGGATTACCTGTACTATTTTTGAGAATTTAACATAATTCGACATAACCAAAAGAAATAATGTCAAATTATGCTATTATTAGAAATTATGAATTGTCTTTCCAGTTTAAAAGATGTTTGGAATACTGATTTAGGAAATCCAATAATTGAACTAAAGTGGCAATCTGGAAAATCAGGATATTTTATTTTTTCCTCTAAGCAAGAGCAGCAATTGAAGGTGTAACATTGGTGGTATTTAGCACCTGCTACATTAGCATATATACTACATAATCATTCTTCAAAATGTTGGAGTGGCTGTAAACAATAGGATACATGTGTGTGTGTGTGTGTGTGTGCGCGTACACACACACACACACACATACAGTACATACAATACACACAATAGCAGAGTTGGAAGGGACCTTGGAGGGGACCTTGGAGGTCCCCCTGCCTAGGCAGGAAACCCTAAACCATTCCAGACAAATGGCTATCCAACATCTTAAAGACTTCCAGTGTTGGGGCATTCAGAACTTCTGGAGGCAAGCTGTTCCACTGATTAATTGTTCTAACTGTCAGGAAATTTCTCCTCAATTCTAAGTTGCTTCTCTCCTTGATTAGTTTTCACCCATTGCTTCTTGTTCTACCCTCAGGTGCCTTGGAACATAGTTTGACTCCCTCTTCTTTGGGGCAACCCCTGAGTTATTGGAACACACATATACAGTGTGTGTGTGTGTATGTATTTTTCAATAAATTTTCCAGCAAAAGGTTGTTAGGATAGGCTGCTAGAAATCAGCCTGAATCTCTATAGTATGATTTGGGAGTTTCTTTTTTCATGTCACCTCTATGAAAAATAGGAAACACTGTGGATCATCCAGCCCTAAAATCTAGAAGTAATATATGAAACAATTTTACACCAATTTTTAAACACAAGTGGTAGATAACCAACTGCCTCATCTTGCACAGGAACTTAATAAAAAAATTAAGTTACATCTCTGCCTATAAAAAGACGTTTGAGGGGGAAAAGGGAAATTCAGAAATGCAAGAAAAGGCAACAACTGCACAAACAAAATTCCAAATAAAACTGCCATTAGATTAGCTAGTTACCAACTTACCTGCTTAACAAAATCTTAGGTTTTAACATGCGTTCGGAGTCTATTGCAAAGAAGATGGAAAGAAAAAGAGGGCAGGGCTGTCAATCTCCCAGCCCACATGTATCACGCACTGGCCACACCCATGCCCGGTTTAACGAAGGGGGAAAAAGTCATGTGACACTGCCATGATGACATGAGTTTGACACCTCTGCCATAGGGACTTCCATATTGGATGTTATTGAGCAGGGCTTTTTAATTCTCTTCCTTCTCTACCAGATTTGGCTGCAGTACTTTGATTAACCTCTAAATGGCAGCAAAGAGTTAAGAATGCTGCCACCTAATGACCTGCGAGTTCCACAGCCAGTTTTCACCACTTATACCAGTGTTTCTCAACCTTGGCAACTTGAAGATGTCCGGACTTCAACTCCCAGAATTGAAGTACGGACATTTTCAAGTTGCCAAGGTTGAGAAACACTGACTTATACTGTATACAAAGGACAGGATCCAAGAACATTTTTTAAGAAAGAAAGAAAAAATAACTC